GCCATTTACATACAGCCTTTCCTATTTGTGTTGTTTCTTATAGCCACAACACAATAGTAACGAAGCATTGACCTTTTTTAACAGTGATTATCTACCTACTACCAACCTTCCTGGGTAAATGTTTCAACCACTTATTGTCAAGCGTATGGTTAGGAATTCAACAAGCGATTGTAACTCTTCTAAGATCCCCTCTGCTTCCTTTGAGAAATTAATGGGTGATGGTTTAAAGATTTTCTCCATCCATTAGCTTGCTTTAAAATATAAGATTACTTCTCGGTTATATAATTTATTCCTTCTTATAAATTGCCGTATTTTTTAAAAGTTTTTAATTAAATTCTAACTTTCAAATTGCGAATAAGCTCGCATTTAGAATGATTGCTTTGTTTAGAAAAGTTGATGACTGATGCCATCAAAAATAAAGTATCTGTATATAATATTATAACAAAATAAGTAATTGAATTTTTATGTAACATAAATTACTAATAAAACAATATTTGTCCAGCTATTTACTTATCACTAAAAAGTTTAGACCAATTGTAATTGGAATTTCACTGGTATATAGTTATTGCTATATCTTTATGTATGACTAAGTTTAGTTTGATTTTAAAAAAATATTTATTTTAATTGTGATTTACAAAAAAAAATCATAGATAAATATTGTCGGCCAACGTAATGTTAAATGAGAAGGTCTATATTTTTGTTACAATTAATAGCTTATTTATACTCGATGATTTTAATTAAATTTAAAGTGATACATACTATTATCAATTATAACAGCATAAATTAAGGTGATTTTGATTTATTTTTTAAACTTTTTTAATCTTCTATATATATAAAAATGAATTGCTGTTCCTTAGTCTCACTAAAACTCGAGAACGGCGCAACGGATTTATCTTATCTTAGTCTTGAAATGTTCGTGAAGGTTCAGGAAAGGTTTAAAAGGTGAAAAAAATTGATTCATTTCCGGGAAAACCCTAAAAACAGCCCTTTTCTATTTTCTATACAAACGTTTTTTTGACATTAGATTCGACAACTAACTAATATGTCAATCATTCTGTTCGATTGAAACAAGAAAAAATTAATAAATACCTGGTCATTTAAGACGTAACAGAGTTCGCCCGGTCAGCTATACGTATATACATACTATACATATACATATATAGATATACATATTACTAATGACGAAATTAACGCGGACGAAGTCGCGGGCAAAAACTAGTTATGTATATAAGTTTTATGATTATAGCAAGTAATTACATATTCTAGGCAGTATCAGTTAATATCCTCGTCCGCTCTAGGCAAGTGTGAACAAAGCAGTTTGGTCGAAACTGGTTGTAATTAGATACAATTTATGACCTTAATAAAAGCGATGCATTGGTTTTAAACGGAATTGCTTAACGTGGAGCATACATGACTATATTTGTTAAGTAAAATTTGGTAGTTATTTAAAATGAAAAAGAATCATTGTCGAACAAAACAATTTTTTACTTTCCACATACCTACTACGTTAAATATTAAAATTATATTTCGCAACCACGCTATTATTTTAATATAAAATTTATTTTTTTGATTATTATAGTACACTTATTTTATTTCTATGTAATCAGGGATCCATTGGGAGATCTAAAATGACATGATTTTTCCCCTAAATGCAATACTGGACTAGCCAGTTAGAGAAGGAAAATCCTATCAGTGGTAAAGTACGTAATAGAAACATGGCCACACACGTTGAAGTTTGTCTACCAGATTTAAGTTACTCAGTTACCTATGTAGAGATCTATGTTCGGAGTTTCTCTTAATGATCGAGTACAAAACAAAGTTATTTGTTAGAGAACTTAGGTAAATGAGATGCCTTCTAGGATAATAAATCTGGACTCGCTGTGAACATGCTAGATATGCCACAGAAGGGAACCTGTTAGGGCAGAATAGTTTCAGGGAGGAGACCGTGAATTTGCAAGTTAAGTGTCAGATAACCCGTAGCTATATAGGACTATAATTTCCGTATGGTGGTAGGAAAAGATTGGAGATGAGTTCAGAAATAAACTAAGTGTAGTACTATGGAAGAAATCCGTAGACAATGATGAGGACTGATAATTATAAAAATGACAACGTGAAAGACACATTTAATATCGTTTATAATATTTGCTATACTTTTACCGTCCCATTATTTTTAAGCTAACAAAAAGGTTGAAATGGTTTTGATTTATTTTATATCACATATTTTAACAGTTTTAATGGAAATAAGATCCTATGCTAACGTTTTGATGAGATGTTCTTGCAGGTAACGAGGTATTTCAGTAGTAATATAATATATGTATATATAAATTATATACGGAATGCAATGAAGGCATCTGGTAAAGCATGCTTTGTGATAGCTACTATACTGAGATTTACTAGGTTTACATAGCAAAAGCTCTTTCAAGCTTTGATGTTCTAATTACAGATGAAATATATCAGTGTCATGAACACAAAAAAATTAGTTTCAAATATTAGTATTCAACTTAATTTTATATTATTATCGAAAAAATATGAAGAATATTTGTTTTGTATTAATTTCATAAAACAAATTTGAAAAATCTTGAAACCGAACACTAGCGGCATCGGACAGATGGCAATTATTTACAATTAAATTGTTTATAAGACAATAATATTAAGTATATATATGCGTTTTCTTAGACAATGTTGTATAAGTAATGCATTTTGTTATTGAATATTGTCCTCAATACAACTTATGCATTCATTTATAGTTAGTTAATATTGCTTATTGACTAATAAAAATATATTACATTTATATAAAGAAGCAATATAAAGAATATGACAGTAATTTACTTTACTTCTATTGATACCATTGTCCGTTTTTTAATTAGAGTATGGGTAGCATACAGTACTCAAAACCATTGCTTTTTTACTCTAATAGTGTTTTGTTTATCGTTTACCATATTGACAATTTATTGAAATAATCATATAGTAAATTAGGCACAACAATCAGTGTATTTGTTTCCGATTCAATTATAATTATTGTAACTCCTAATGAAATTATTATTTTTAATATTTTTATTTAATTATAAATAAAGCATCATTAAAATCTTTGATATTTTCATTAAATGTATGTATTTTGAATGCAACTCGTATTTGTGTTATCTGCTGTTGATAATTAATAAAATGAAGAAAGATTAAGAAGAATAATAAATTGATTTACAATAGACTTTCAAAAATTAAAAGGTTTCTTTTTTCACAGAAGCTAGTTGTTTAACTTTTCACCATCCAATGAATATAAAATCCCTTAGGAGGCAACATACGTATTGCTTCATCTGCCTGTCTAGAATGGGACGCCTGATAATAATAAGTATAAGACAAAGATAGTGGTCTCTTCAAGCTAAACAAAATAAAAAAAAAAACAAGCCGGTTAAAAATAAAACCTTTAAGGACCCTCCTCTGATAGAAAGTTGTTTGCAACAATTTTTTAACTTTAAAAGCACCTTAAAAATACGTATTATTTGTTATGGAAAAAAGTGCATACCTCATTTATTCAAAATTTTCCCTTTTTTATGTAGACATTATTAATTGTGCTTTCTTCTCGCAACATATGGGGAGCAATAAGTACATTTCATTTCTTAAATATTGAATTTTGTTTAGGTAAATTTGGACTTATTTTCTTTGGAATAAAATAATATTTTTTATATGCTGAATGCTTACTAGTAAATTTTAAATTTTCATATTTCTTTACACACAGAAACGTACCCAAACAGCCCTAGAAATAAAAAGAAAAGCAGGGAATGGTCGCTTGGAGGTATCTTGACTCTTTTTCTTTACGATATTACATTTGCCAGTGCACTATAAATGCTATAGTTTCTTTACAGTAAACGATGAATTTGTATTGAATTGAATAATTTTAAAATCTTTACATTTGGTCATTATTAAGGTTCCAAATTGATCATGATGTAGTTCGATCGTTTTTACTGACAATATCTACTTCCAAATTATTTTTAAATAGTACTTATTGGAAATAAATATTGAAAATTATTTCAGTTTTAAATAAATTGATTTTGTATAATGTTTGATTGAGTACTTTATTAATATAAGAAAAGTTAGGTTTGCTCTGCTTTATTGAATAATACTATAATAAATCTATCGTGTTTACAAGTAACCTTCAGCAAGTATTGAATAAACAGTAATAAAGAAGTGCAGTTCAAAAAAAACTTCGAAACCGACCTATTGAGGTCACAGCATGTGCAATACTGTATTTCAATTTTAAACGAAGAGTTTAATATTAAATAGGAATCAAGATATCCGTAAAGATTTTTATAATAATATCTGTAACCCTCTCGAATTAAAGCTTTGATATCTTTGATGATTTTATATCTCACCTCACCTCAAAAAATCAAAAGAAACAGTAAAACATTAAAAATCCTTATAATTTATTATTAAAGGCCAGATAAAATAAAATTTTACCATGAGTTATTGTAGCGGTTTGACTATTATAATATTTTTATCAAGTTTCCAGTAAAAAATTTTCGTATCCATAAAATCCGGACCTTGATTTGTTGCAAAAAATGAAATTAGGTAGAATTTCAAAGTGTCATAAATACGTAGCGTTAACTTTGAATGAAATGAGCTCAGAAGTATATCAATGTTTTTATAATGAAGTTCTGTAAAACAAAATTTAATATTGAAACATTGTAACAAAAATATCTAAGTTACAATATATTTTTGATGATATATATTCTGAACTAATTCCCGTCGCAATTTGCACAATCTCAGCGTGAGTCCACATCATTAGACCAAACACTGTTTCTACTTGTTGTATTTGTTTTATATGTATCAAAGATTGATACCCTTTGAATGGAGATAGGTACACTACATTTAAGTTAGATACGCTGTTAGTAAATTAAAATTACTTGTATTAGTACAGCTATTTTGATATCCTTAACAACTGAAGTACTATTATAAAAACCTTTTGTAGTGCGGGATATTATAGTTGAGGGCTTGGACAATTATAGTTATTTGTGAGTGATAAAAGCTTTAGAAAATCTGAACCAATTCAAAGTTCTTGATGTGACTTCATGTGGAGTACTTGTTCCGTTTGTTATTATCATTGAATGTTCCAGAATCGAGTGCTTAGTTAATTTTTCAGGTTTGTAATAGTCGGATGATTGGAATAATAGCAGGCTGAAGAAAAAACAGAATTAGTTTCAAATAATAACTTATATATTATTTAAAAAAAAAGAAAAAATAGTCAATTAAAAGAGATTCAGATATAAAAGCATTAAGTAATAGTTACTTCTTTTTATATTACTTTAATAATTGAAAACTCCAACATTTCAGCATTTCTTTAAACTGTTATTATTATTTCTATCTTGCTGGATATATCTGCTTATATTGTTTAAAGTTGTAAACTTTAAAAATAAATATATTTTAATCTCAACTCTTCTGATGACAACTCTATTATTCTCGGCTTGTACAAATGTGCTCGCGATAATGATTTTCCAGGTAAGATTGAATGCCGGTAAAGCCAACTAGGAACGCATTGTTATGACTTGTACATTAATAGCTATAATGTACAGTAATTAAAATAAAATGGTATTTATTATTGTATTTTATGAATAAGAAAATTGAGATTCTTTGTAGACGTTTTCTATGATTCAAGTATTGAAAAAGTTTAACTAACATGTAAGTGTTTAAAGTTGAATGGCTCGAAACGGAGCAAAATGATTGAGATAACATTTTGTATGGCAGGAACGATACTACATGAATAAAACAAAGGCTAAAAAAACTTTTGAACCCAAGGACCGCTTGGGATCGGGGTCAATGAACCAGGTAAAACTACTATGACTCTGACGTATGTTTTCTCAACCTTATATTTATTCGTACCTATTCTAAGTGGATTGGTTAATTAAAGTTTATATTTTTAATCAGATATTTAAGGTTTTGTTGTTAAGTGTATTATGAACATAATATGTGGTGACAAAAAAAAATTATTCATGTTAAAGTTTTGTAATTCTTAGAAAAATATGATATAAAGTATATTAAACTTTTAAGACCTATTGAAAAATGACAAAAAATTATGATTTAATATAAAATTAGTTTTCAAAGGAGGTAAGAAGCGCCATCTTTGTGAATGAAAAAGATTCCGACTGAAAACATTAAGAGGTCGCTACCATAGCTAAAGTACGATCATAATAATTGATTAAATTTGCAAGAAAATTCAACATCAATTGCGGTATATGGTCATTTATTATGGTTAGTCGTAAGGTTGTATTCATGAAATATAGAATCTGGAAATAGTCACAGTTGTTTTAGTTTCGATGACAAAATGCAATGGATTTAAATTCTATCATTCTTTAAAAATATTACAAATGCAAGAAAAAATCTGATTAAACAATTGAAAATAATACACTTACATAATTAAATTTATTACCAGTATTTATTATTATTTTATATATCCATAAACTTATTATTTGAATACAGAGTTCTTATTGCCTTACTAGTGTTATTTAGGTACCTATCGTCTCGTTTTTCAGCAATCAAGGTAGCTCCAGGATGTGAAATGCTCTGGATGGATTAAAAACATACAAATATTGCCTGTTCAATATACAAAATATTCTTTTTTATTTCGTAATATTCATTATAAATTATTCATTGTCCATTTTGTATACGTATATGTATAAGTTGCATACTAATTAAAGAGGTAAATTATAGAATTAATATCTAAATAAAAAGAGTAATTTTTAGGTGCTTCATCAACTTCTAGAAGTGATTATAAATTAATTCACAATTTCTTTTAGAAATTCATTATAAATGATTAAAAAGTCGGAAAAGTTTTAATACAGAAATAATTTAATACGCGTAAAAAATTCAAATACAATTTTTTTAATACAGTGTGCACTGAAGTTTTACTTTATCAATTTAAGTTTCAAAGGTTTATTAGAAGACTAAAGAATTCTCCGAAAAAAATATGAATGGAAACAGTTTTCTCTTTTATTATAAAGCTATTGTTAGATGTCTTTCATATAATTATTTAATATTTAATAACAAAGTAAGGAACAAATTACATTAAGTTTATTTTCGAACGAGCTCTGAATAACACAACAACTCATAGCTTTACAATATGTTTTCATAATATAAAGAATTTTATGGTATAAAAATATGAGAAATTTTCTTTCTAAAAAAAGATTTGTTGTGAAAGAACAGAAGTATTCCATATTGTTCCATATTAAGCTTAAATGTATATTTTTTCATGAGTGTATAGTTTTTAATTTCAAGGCAAATCAGTAAAGTATTTGGAAAATATAGAGTCATAAAAGGTACAAATGTACTAGTTTAAATTAATGTTCAAACAATTTTAGAGCTTGTATATTCGATCACAACATTGTTAATAGACATTTTTGAAACGTATATGTGAAAATGAAAACCATTAAGGTAAAAATCCGGTTCTAGTATAGAGTGGAAAGCTGAGGACGAGATCTAGACTTCGCTGTTCCATGTGACAGAATGTCACCTAGTTTTAAGATTTAACACACTTAAATCTTATATGTCATATGGCTTCATGGAATGTTACTTTAAATTTGTGTTTGATAAAATATATGTATATTTTTTCTACAAAATAATAATGAAAATATGTGGTTGCTTGGTCGTGTCAAACATAATAGGATTACCATTCTTTATAATTAAACTAAGTATAGACTTTTGTATTATTTTTTTAATGTTTTTAGTATGTGTGTATGTGTGTATTTGTGTGTGTCTTATGTGTGTGTGAGTTCAGATAATATTTGAAGCCAATGTAATAAGTTTTTTGAACGTTATAATTTAATTTGCTATCATGACTTCGGATCTGACCCTTATTTGAGATAAAATGATGAACGACCTACACGGCTGAACTATTTGAATCGTTATTACTTTCGTATAGTATTATATAAGAAAATATATTTAACTACACTTATTATGTAGATCGAAAATTTGAAAACTGAAATTATTTGTAACGTAACTAATAGTACTTAAAACATCAAGCTAATATAGATATAATAAAATAAGAAACACTAATTTTAATTTAAGACAAAAAGTAACAAGTACCAGCATCCACTATCTTTTTTAATACTAAAAGAATTATATACAGATCAGTTGATGACCTAAAAAAATACAAAGTTTGGATTTCCTTGTAAAAATTATTTTTAAATTAAGAGTATATATATTTTTTATTTTTTACTATATTTAATATTTGAATGAAAAAAAATGTGAAAAATAAGCTTGAAATGAATATAAATTAATGTATGCATTTCGTAAAAAAACATAATATATGAACATATTTTTCCACTGCGTTTTCTGTTTTCATAACTGTTTTTATGATTACATTACCAGTGCAATCGTGGAATGGGATTGCGGTCTTTAATTATAAGGTTTCACATTAGTCTTGTTATTATATTAATATAATGAATATTATAAAAAGTACAAATCTCATCCAATTATATGATAAACATTGAAAACGATAAATTAATAAATAAGTACATAAATTATATGTTTCTTAATGATCCATTAAAATACCATGGGGACAATTTCCTTATTCGTATTGGAAATATAATTTCCTCATTTTTGATAACGATGGACCCGACAAAATCAGGTGCAAATACAAATTTGAGTTACAAATAAAATAAAAGATAAAATAACACGTATTTGATGTGATAAGGCAAAGCGTACAACTGTCCACTGGGAACTAAATGGTTACCTTCTCTTATATAGTTCAGAAGGAGTATTTTAAATTTGTCGTCACTCTAAGGTCCGTTAATGTAAGGAAAAATAAATAAAAATGAGTTTAAAATACCTGGGAGAAAACAAAATCTGCTATTATAGATACTGCATATTAATCTTTGCATGACAATAGTTGTAATTGACTATAGATAGCACTGTCACTTACATACATAGATACCACAAAATCCTTATAATTCGATTTATTTAAGTACTTGAATAGAATACAAACATATAACAAGAATTGATTCTTCTTACTCATGTGCAATAACATAAAAAAGACCTTACGTTTTACTGACGCCATTATTCTATCGGTTCCGTCGTGTTTCGTTGATTACGGTTACTCCAACAGACTTTTCCCTCTTTTTTGGATTTATTAATAATGTAATGTGACAGCCGATTTTTCGTGAGAGTAATGACAACGATTGAAAAAATCCATATGACTACAGTTGGATAAACTCAGCCTTTTTTGTATCAAAGGTGGCATACAGCGCTGAAAGGACAACCGGCTCTCTCACTCGTCGGACGAAACGCAGCCTATATAGGAAACATCATGCCGATCTTCTGTGAGAGGGTGGTACTTCCCCGGTCGAGCCAGCCCATGTTCGAGCTGTAGTAACTTGACCACAGGTAAGCTTTACTACCTCGTTTGTTGTTTAAACCAAAATTATATTTTGTGAATCCTAAAATATTGCAATAGTTACATATTTTAATACCTTTATTGTAATTCTCATTTTGATATGATATTGCGTACTATGTTATTTTGTCTAGTTATGTTAAAAACTGTCTGAAGCCTGAAATACATCTAACTAACTTTACCTTTCATACTTTATTACATTTCAGCACAATATAATCATAATTAAAGCATCCTAATTGATTCACGTTGCTTACAGTGACTATCGAGTTTCTCGCCGATGTCTTCTTGATAGATGGAACGTTCCTAAATTGCTAAATTCAATTTTAATGTAGTACTAAAAGAATATATTTCAAAGCGTTACATTTATTTTTAAAACTTATTTCCCGTGTTTAACCTTCACCATTGTCTTAAACTTTTAACAAAATTTCTCTTAAAAGTAAAACTTCTTCCATGGTAACTTTTGGATGGATTGAGTTTTTGACGTGCTAAAAGCTTTTTTATTTCTGAACTTTAATGCAACAAGCGATAAAGGAATAGCCCCAATTTACATTGTGCCTATAATGTATGTACATTAGCTGTTAGATAGCATCAATATTATATTGCCTAATTTAAGCCCAATTTCTATTTGAAAATGATGCAAATAATATTTTACTAGATAAAATATATACTCTGAAAGTAAATAAATATAGAAATTGTAATAAACTACTATAAAATATATCCCCCAGAGTGATATAATACGAAATTACTTCATAAATAGGCTTTTAATTTTGTTTTTTAATTATTTTATAGTTAAAAGTCAGACAAACTGATGTTATAATTCAAATTCATGTAAAAGTATATTATGAATTCGAATTAGTTTCTATAGAAAGAAAATACATTTTTTTGTATGAAATATGTGGTAACATTGTGCATTTTAGTATATTCTATTTAAGTATCGATGTCATGAAAAACATTTTAGCACATTAAATACAGAGGTGTAGGTGTAAGTGTATTGAAACTATCGACCAAATAAACAATATCTTCTCAATGACATCACCACGTCAAGCAATCCATTTCAGAAGACGTAAGCACCGAATCAGCGCGTTATTACTTCTTTGAGCCAGTCACGCCCTACTCCATTAAAATCACACGGCCTACAAGTGTGGGGCCAAACGAACAATGAAAAATTTCGCGGCGAACACACGGGTTGGAAAAAAAAAATAACTTCCAAATAGAATACGCGCCAGCCGCCACAGTTCCGTTACGCTATAAAAACCTACCCGAGCAAACTTCGTAATTCCGCTTCGTCCCAACCGATATAAAATATGAAACACTGAGCGAAATTCTCCCCGGCTCCCCCGAGCACTGCTCGTGAATGCTCGGCAACACTCGGCTGACTTCGTAGCGACGTAGCGGCAGTTACGTAGCCGTCGCCACGCATCCGCTACGCTGTAGCCGCTCACAACAAGACACATAAATCGGTGATTGTGATTATATCGAGTGCGGACGCATTTTATGAGTGCTGTACTAACATAATGTGTAGTGGCAGTGTACGGAAGGATTACGACGATTAGCCCGTTTGATGGTGTGGAAAAATGGTAAAACTTATTAATTACAGCATTATTAATGCATTATAACGGTCTCGTTTCTATGTAACTAAGGGTAATTTCTATAAGTAGCAAAATAAATAATTTTTTGTACATATATAAAAAAATGTGATATTATTTTCGTAATAAAATATTGTAAGCTGCTTAACTTAAAAGGGTTCACTTTAATGTGAGACCGTTTTCATATATTTTGGCAAGCGGTCCAACTTCTAGACAACATTTTTATAGGACCCACTGACGTCAGAAGTTTTATAAATATAAATATTGTTATCATAATCTTATATCGTAAGGTTTTTATCATACATTCTAAAACGTCATCGAGAATTATATACACATAATTAATTCTGACATATATAATACTTAAGAATTTAAAAAAGAAATAAAATTCAATTTCTATGTTAAGACAAGACGCGAACAAGACCACAAAAAGAAACTGTTCTTACATAAATTAAAATTATTTCCGGCATAAATTATTTTATCCTCAAAATACAATAAATAAAAGAAGACTGACGTACACTTGGATGGTGACTGAATAATATAACTTTGACAGAATTCTTTATTGTCAACCTCATTACCATATTGTGGAGGTAATAAAATAATAGGCTTTTTTCAACTTCATCTATAAGCCATCATCTAAATATATATATATATATATATATATACATACATACATATAAATAGAGAGTTCTATGCATATGTAATCAGATATAATTCACGCATATATCTCTTTGCAATCACTTAAGTCTGAAAGAACAGGCAAACTATGTTACAGTCAATTAGCAGTACAATTTATGCCATAAATTGATTAAAATATTTCAAAACAATAAAAAAATCCTCAGTATAAGGCTTAGGCTTGTCGAGAACGTGACTTCACGAATCTGAACTAGAATATCTTTTACAAATAATCGACAATATTGAAAGTCTTGATACTATTTTTCAAACTACAAAATTTATTTTTGTATACTATTACTTACACTACCACTACTACGTATACTACTTTGTATGCGCTTCTTCTACTATTTTTCAATATTGACCTTTTTGTATTTCAGGATGATTTATTGAAATTGCATTTTTGTCAGCGTCTCTTATTATGTTTTATTTCTCATGAAAATACTTGATAGAACAGGGTCTGAGGACGAAATGTACTTTCAATAATCAAATTGTCATCATTATATAACTTACCTAGGCTTTTGAAGATATTTGAATGAAACAAATATTACAATACATGAAAACATTGTTGCGTTTCAGTAGAATTATAATACTAATAATAATAATGTGTAAAATTCATTTCTTCTGTGGCTTATAATATAATTTATTTTTATATGGAAATTAAAATAAATATATAAAATTTTCTGAACTTCTACTGAACTAAAGGTACCAGTTATTAACGCACTATTTTCAATAAGTTTAAACATTTTTGCAATCAAAATAATTTATCCGAGTTTTGTAACTTTTTGAATAAATAATTCCTTTTGTATAACGATTCAAGTAACTAAACATTTTCAATTTAGAAAGAAATCTTTTGAAGAATAATGGAACTTACTTAAAAATATGTATTTTTTGATATGTATACATCATGTCATTAATTAGAAACTAATTGAAAAATAATTCATTAAACTATATACAAAGAAAACTATAATAAAGTAGCATAGTTATTTAAGGTAATTTTATTACTTAAAACACGTGACATTTTCGAATTGACAATAAACTTTACCATTGACATATCAAAATGAATGTTTCATTGTTTAAATCTTCATTTGAAATTTCACTTCAGTAAAAATCTCATTACATAAAGACACCAGTGACACTTTATGTCATCCATTATATAAATTATATTAACTTTTTGTACATTAGCTCAATTATAAACACGAACATGTATTTAAACATGAACTATTTCTAAACAATAAACGTAAATAGTATTAGAAAATAGAAATGATACTGGTATCAAGGCTGGAATTGTTCGATGAAGTTTAAATTTCGCCTACAATTTCAATACATTTACCTAGTATTTGGATTGAACTGGCAACAACCGTATCCTTTACTATTCCACCGAAGTCAGAACACTAATGCATATTCAAGACGGAGGCCAGCCCTATTCGATTCTCTCCTGAAATGTATGTTTACAAAACTCAAAACAGTTGAAATCTTACCAGTACGATAAATTCATTATTATATTATTTTTATCATTACAGCCGCTTTCGTTAATGACCTGTTAAGTCTCTCAATATAAAGGTTAATTTAAATTCAATCTCGTTCTTATGACAATTGATATTTCATATTAAAATTGCTTTTTACAATAAGTAATTACTCTCAGAGATTTTTGTATCGTTGTTAAAAAAAATATGTTTGTCGACAGTTATTTCACATATTGGATAACGAAATTAAATATCTGATATCATCGGAATGAATGTTTAAGAAATTGTTTGTAATAATTAAATTCAATTGGTCATTTACTTTGTGAATATTATGATCTCAATGTTTTTATATGGAGCTTAAAGCAAAGCGCTGCACTCGTTTAGTTTAATTACTTAACATTTTCCACTCTCATTCCAAGCTACTATGCAATATTTTAAAATTTGGTTTGAGAAGTGTATATAAATTAATTTAATTACTCCATTATGCGCAGCTGATCTTAGTGTTTCAGGGATATATGTATTTTAAACGTAATATTTTTTGAGCATCGCATTTCTGAAGTGGATTGCTTGTTTGAGCTTGGATGATTGCATCGCTTACTGAGAACTCTGTTAGTTCAGTGCGATGTCTACACACTTTAGCGAATATTAAGTTACAATCATTTAATTTAATTTAATTTTAATATTGATGTCTTATTCATGTTAGATTGTTATTCGTTAAATAGTCTGCAGTGACTTTTTATATTACTAATACAGTAATAAGAGAGTCGAAGTATAATTTTAATAGATTTCGCAATCGTTTTCAGAATTAGATGTTTTCAGAAATCAATTTGAGGAATGATTTTTACATAACAGCTATATGCACTATTTCACTCATAAACTTTTCCAATTATGATTTGTAAAATAATTAACATAGAATAAGTATAACAATAAATAAATATAATGGCGATAATTCATTCATTAATATAAGAAGGTATTTAATTTTACCTACAAAAAAATAAAAAGAAACAGCAATACTTTAAATTTATTAAAAGGATTTTTAGGTAATATCCAATATAGAAATATTACGAAATAATACGAAAGCTATACTTTAGGTCTACTTAGAGGTTGCGTTTTGACTAGAATTAATTACTCTGCATGAAATGTCATACTTATGTTGTTAATATTTATATATTAATACAAGGACCGGTTTTATATAATATTGTATAGACATCGTTAATTTCCCCCTGCGTTCTGTGTATTGACAAACCCATATGTTCATAGAAAGCACGCAATACTACTTAATTATACTCCACAATTGCCCTTCAAATTCGATCAGGATAAACAAAACAATTACTATTTTCAATTTTTGTTTACCAATCCTTATGACGTTCTTAACAAATATGTTCATAGACTCGTACATATTTAAATTTTATCATATAAAATATAATAAATATTAGAAGAAACATTTGGGATTTAAATCAGTTTGCCAAATCAGTGTTATACGTTTGTCGATTTGATGTTCCAGACTAAACCATTTCAGCAGAGGCTGTCCTAGTTGAGGTCATGATTAAATATTAATTTTGATGTACTATAAATATAAATTTAATTCATTCGAAAGATACTTTACTCGTATCTTATTATAGTTTCATATTTATACTTTTGGTTATAATTAATAGAAATTTTAAATAATTTATATAACAAAAGACCGATAGACAGACAGACAGATAGATAGACAGACTGATGTATTCGAAAAAATGATTAGTTTTGATCAATTTTCCTTATTGAAAAATGGCCATTTACTCTAGCCTCCTTTCTTTTAGTAATTACAGTTTTTTTTTATATAAACCATGCATCATTTTCATATAAAGAATACTATTATAGACGCTTGTAGGAAAGTAAAAAGTTAACACATAACCACAACAAGAAACGGCGTCAGTACTCTACACACTAACAAAACCAGAGCGCTTCAATTTTAATAGCGAGATTTCATACACGTTTGTTTAAAAAAAAATCAAATTGAAAAAGCAATACTGAAAAATGTGTAACAGAGTGAAGTATATATTTTGTTCCATATTTTTTATTATGACTGAAAGGAAAAGTACGTGAAAAGTAATATGTGAATGGCACTAACGATGGTAGAATCTCTGTTTTATATAAAGTTCTCATGTCTGCCATATATGTTATTTAATACCATTCATATTTTATAACGATACAAATATTCTTTACAACTTCGACTACTTTAATAATTATTATGAATTCAATTTTATGCTTCAAACAGTTTAGAAATTTTGTGGTTTTTAATATTATGCACAGATCGAGTTGAATTCTCATCAGAAATTATTAACTTAAATGAAAATTATATGAAATAGTTTCAACTATATTTAAGTATCATATACCTATTTATTAAACATTTTATTTAGTGATGAATTTTTTACTCTTTTACAAAATAAAATATAATGGTCACATGAACGGTAAAAGGAAGTCGAGGTTAAAATAAAAAATATGTATAAAATTATAAATTTTAGCTTCATTTACTTTGAATATGATATATTATATGTTCATAAAAATTACTTACATGCGAATATAAATACATGAACTGGCTTTATATTTTAATTTATTAAGGTGCTTTGTAGTAACTGTAGACAGTAGAAGTATGCTGTGAAGCAAGTTACTTAATTCTCTAATATAAACAAACTATGATAAAGTATCAAATAGTTATT